GACTTTAGCGAGAATAAGAGAGAAATATTATTGGCCAGGTATGGTGTCCGATGTGCAAAAATACATAAAGAACTGTGATATTTGTAAAGGCAACAAGACTCAAAACGCCTTCCATAAACCACTGATGGGCAGGCAACACGTGACTGAGCGGCCTTTTCAGCGTTTGTTTGTTGATTTTATGGGTCCGTATCCTCGTACGTCTAACGGTAATGTGTATGTGTTTGTATGTTTTGACCACTTCTCGAAATTCGTGTTCCTTAAGCCCATGAGAAAGGCTACTTCAGCGGAAGTTGTTAGGTTCCTGGATAAAGATATGTTTCATGTATTCGGAGTACCTGAATACATCCATTCCGACAACGGAAAACAATTCGTCTCAGAAACGTTTAAAACATTTGCTGAAAAATATGGAGCAACCCACATAAAAACTGCGTTTTATTCGCACAAGCAAATGCTGCGGAGAGGGTTAACCGGTCCGTGCTCCAAATAATTAGGTCTTACATAAAGGATAATCAAAAGAATTGGGACAGCCACGTAAGCGATGCAGCTTTCGCTCTTCGTAGCGTGGTGCATTCGGCGATTGGTACTTCACTATATTGCGCCCTTTTTGGTCTACCAATGATTCAACATGCCGCTTCATACGAGTTGTATAGGAAGTTAGGTTCACTCAGAGAGTCGCAGTGTGAAGTCACCACAGGAGAGGATAATGTCCAATTGATTAGAGAAAAAATCATAAAAGAGCTGATGTTAGCCCATGAACGCAGCGAAAAGGCGTATAACACGAGAAGTAGAGAAGTGAAATTCTAAATAGGACAATTATAAGGTATACCGCCGCAATTTTAAACAGAGTTCACAAATCGAGAACTATAATGCCAAATTGGGCCCAAAACAGGTCAAATGTATTATTTTAAAGGCAGTAGGGAACTCGATGTATAAACTCGGAGATACCAGTGGAAAGAAGATCGGGGTATACCACGCTAAGGACATTTTTGCTGCGTAGATAATTGTTAAATGTCGTCCTTGTGCGGTGTGTTGCATGTCGTTTGACTTAGTTTTACTGACTTGACTACTTATCCATAATTGACCACATTTATTGATTTATTTATTTTTATTATTTATTATTGTGATTATTCTGTGATATTTTATTTATATTTTTTTTATTATTTATTATGATTATTGTTAAATTTATTTATTTTATTTATTTATATATATATTTTTTTATTATTTGTATATTTTAGCCGACTGTGGTCAAGGCCACACGTTGGGCGGGAACAGGACCTTGAAACCAGCGGCTTTAGGAATCTTTTTACGCACGCACTCCATGGTGCAGGCACCATCGGCGGGTGCGAGCCTGTAGCGCCAGCTGTTTGCCACATACGTTAGTGTGCGTTTGGTTGTA